CTTGTGGCAATCTGGTTCTTGTGGCAATCTTTTTCGAAGCTTACTTGATTTGCATTTTGCTTCTACTTGATCTCTTATCTCATCCTTTGCTGCATCACCACTTTCACGATGAATGATTCACTTTTTCAACCTAGTGACATATGAATCTATGAATCTTTTCTGTTTCTTTACCTGTTTCATGAAATACACATCTTTCAAATGGATTATTCTTCTTGATATCAAAATGACTATCTATCTTGTTTACTGCCTGGTCATATATTGTGCCTACCTCACCTAATGTTTCAAATATATCTTGCACTTCATCTCCTAAAAAATGCAAAAGTGCTGCCCTCTTTTGGCTATCATTTTGAATACCTGTTGCATTCAGAAAATAAAAAAATGATTTCTTCCATAGCAGTGGCCTGTAGTGTTTTTATGAGTTGAAAACTATGTGCTTGCAATTTTCATCTTCATATAAATTAGAAAGAACTTTATGAGTCTATTGTCTTATAATATAGACCATTTTAAATATATAATTCTTGAATTTGTCCGTCTATCGTTTGGAACCTAAAATAGCATGAGTAGGAAAGTGCGAATTTTTTATATGTAGTTTGTCAAATTGAATTTGCAGAAAAGAAATTTGATATGAATCAAATTTCTTTCTCTTCGGTAAGGCAAAATTAATTATCTTTGTCATGAAAATGTACCCCGAAGGTATTTTATAGGCCTAAAGATACGGGGAGTGGTGCATTGTGCTGAAGAATAATTACAAGCAACGAGTATGGTTTTAAAATAGTTGAAAAATATCAATGATTATATGAAATCAAAACTTGGTTACTACATTCGAACTCTGTTATTAATAACCAAGCACTGAATTATGCCTTATTTTAGCTTTTTCTAGAGTTGGGCCTAGATAATTCATAGCAGTGTCTGTAAACAAAGAAAGAAAAATTAACTAAATTACATCTTTGTACAGCTGTGTTAAGAAATGTATGCATTGAGTGGCTAAACATTGTTGCTGGATCCGTTTTAAAACAGATCATTCATTATTTTCTGGAATTTCGACAAGACAGAAAACACCACAGCAAGCACCGCGACTGTAAATGCTTGGAATTTGCGAATGACGGCTTATTTTTCAAATATCAATTCAAAAATTTAAGTACAATATAAGGCCACTCACCAAATTTCACATAGAACGAAATCAATCCTTGCTTTTACCAAATTTATAAGGGCTCAGTATGGAGCAAGTTCCTTTTTGCCACTATTCAAAATGGCCGAAGTAAACAAATTTGCCTCACAGCGTACCTGTGAGTTAGACATCTAGCGCTTTCGGCGCTTCTATATCATTAAATCTAATCAATCAACTCTAATCAAAGGCTAGTATAAAATGGTTTATGCCTAATACACAACACTACCATTTCAAACATTCATTGTATGAAAACATCTAATATACAATTACTTAGAATGATCACGTTTCATATTGTTGGTATTATTGTTTTTCAGTTTGACCTCTACTGCGACGGAGAAATCTACGGGTACTTGACAACGTCGTTATTTTTCATTGGGTGGGCAGTTGGTGCTGTTGCTATTGGCATCGTAGCTGACAGGTAAGGTGCACAAATGGCCATGAGTTTCGATTGACAATGACTCACCTTTCTTGGTCACTTGCAACTAACAAGTTCTGCGCCCAGGCTAAATTTGTCATCATATAGTTAAATCATGTGACGAATAACATTCTTCTCTCTAAGCTATCTCCAAAGAGTCAATGTGATTAACTAATCAATCCTTTTGCATTATCTTATATATCCAATTTTTATGAAGTGCTAAAGAGCATAAGTCCACCCAAATAGCTCACAGATGATTTCTTTGACCATTCCCCAACGCGTGGCTGATTTTGTGCAATTGGTGGAAATAGAAAATGGCCTCGTTGATGCAACATACTCTGAGGTCGAGAATAGAGAAACATGCGAATTTTCGAATGAAATTGTGAAACTTTAACATGTCCTTGCAATTAATCTCAGCAATATCTTCGCTACTAATGAGACCACCCCCTCCAATTATTTATTCTCCGCCTGTTTATAAAAATTTGGACTCGATAAAACGGTCTACCAACCCCCTTTATTTAGAATCTTTTTGTGTCTGATAGGTTATACAAATTTTGCAGATTTGAATCAAAAGATATTGAAGAACTTAATTCTTTTGTTTCATTTCATTAAAGAAGATCTTCATACAATTCTCCTTAAACTACTTTTAACCTAGAACAGTTTTGAAATTTGATTTGTAAGAAACTTTAAATAAATAAATAAAAAAATAATAAATAAATAAATAAATAGAAAAATAATAAATAAATAAAAAATAATAAATAGATTAAAAAATAAATAAATAGATAAATAAATAAATAGATAAATAAATGATTAGATCAATAGATAAGTCAAAGGAAAAGCTGTAATTAAAGGTAAATAAAGGAAAACTGATATATTCAGATATGTAGGCCCCTGTCATACCGATTCAGCTCGTTTGTTTTTTTATCATTTTCAAATAAAATAAACCATTCCCTTTTATTCTTACAGGTTTGGTCGTCGGAAGGTCATGTTTCCATCTGTGGGTGTGATAATCATTGTTGGGTTTCTCAGCACATTTTCACCTAATGTTTGGGTCTTCCTCACTACCAGAATCATTGTTGGTTTCTTCACACCAGGCACAGGCGTTCAAATGTTCGTCGTGGCTTCTGAGTTCGTTGGTACAAGATACAGACCACTTAGTGGAATTATTTTGTGGTCGTTTTATGCTGTGTCGCTGATTATTCTCGGAGTACAGGCCTATTTCATTCGCGAATGGAAAAAGCTCTACATTATATCCACTGTCCCATATATCTTTGTACTTGCTTTCGCCAAGTAAGTACTAGCAAAAAAATATTTTTCTGCCTTATGCAAAGAAAATTTAGAATCAAAAGATATTCCTTTAGATATTTATTTGCGTACAGTTTTTTTTGTTTGACAAACTTTAGTTTATGAAAATTCTCCGACAACTGATTTTTGTGCTTAGCTTTTCTCAAATATTCTATAAAAAATGTTGATTATGAGCAAAGAAATTAACCAGAATCGAAAAAATTTATGCAAAAAATATTTTATCTATAGCTTCTCGATAAACAACAAATACACTTTAACGGTAATTGATTCAGTATAGGCAAAGCAGTGCCAGCTTTGGTAAAAGCAGCAGAAGAAGACGATGCTGAATTGCAACTCAATCATTCGTTTCTTGATTCTTTTTTTGCTGCATGATACTCTCATACCTTTTTTTATTCAAGCGATAATATCTTTATTCAAATTTTTCTCATTCACCTTTCACATTCATGACTCGTAAGAAACCAAAAATTATTTACGGATCTGTTATATAGTCCTTGATAGGCAGAGCTTTACAAACTTTGGTCCAGAAAACAGATTTAGAGAACAGAATTATGCAAATGAAAGACTTTGTTGGAATCCATCTTCTTAGAGAGTTATGATCACCATATCCAGCAAGATTTCTAGGGTTGTCACTTCATGCAACTAGAGTTGGATAAAAAATGAGCATTGAAATCTTCTTTTCTCTCAGTCTGCTATATCTTTTTTAATAATACTAATTTTAATCTTCAAGGTTCGTCCCAGAGTCAATAAGATGGTTAAACCTTAATGGCCGCCAAGAGGAAGCAATGAAACTACTGCGAAGAATTGCAAAGTTCAATAAGAAACAGCTGCCAGACAATGTAACACTTAAAGCTCCATGTACTGGTCCAAAAGTCAAAGCAAATCCCATTGATCTCTTTGTTCCAACCAAAATGGCTTTGCAGAGCTTAGTACAAAGCTATGTCTGGTAGGACAGAATGAAAAATATTAATTTAGTTTAGAAGTTGAATGTTATTGTAGAAGCCATGTAAAAGGTGTCAGGGGGGGGGGGAGGCAATGGGTACGGGGACTGCCCTTTTTGGTATGGTATTTTGCTACTAATTGCCTTCTTAAATGAATTCGAGAAGTTGACTTTCTTTCTTACTTGTAACTGTAGTCTATCAAATAGCATTTTAAAATTTGGCAACTGCCAATCTAATACAATCGTAAACATTAAATTTAGTATTTCCTCAATCTCTAG